TAGAAAATCTCGAAATTCTTTCGAAATATATTCTCTCCCATTATCCGAACGTAGAATTTTTATCTTGTTACCTGTCTGCCTGTGGACAAGAGCTTCAAATTCCTTAAATTTATTTAGAACCTCCGATTTATTCCGTAGGAAATAAATTGTTCGAAAACCTGTACAATCATCCTTAAACAGTAGAAAATATCGCGAACCACCTGCAGACTCCACATTTATTGGGCCACACACATCCGAATGCATCATCTCGCCAGGTTTATCTGCCTTGACCCGTTTACTTGAGAAATGAAGTTTTCGTGCCTGTTTCCCTAGCGTACAAGCCTCACAGAAAAACTGTGATCTATTTTTAATTTTCATACCATTTACAGCGTTCATTTCATCAGTTTTCTTGATGGCGTTCACATTGATATGGCCTAATTGCTCGTGCCATAATTTTTACGAGCTTTCTTGTATTAAATAACATTCCATAGACTTCTTCGTTTTAAATAACATTCTGAATAATTGTCCATGGCGCACTCCCACTGAAGATAAAGCACCGCTACTATTTCGAACTTCGCACCGCTTTCCGATAACATGAAATGAGAACCCTCTTTCAGTAATCGCTCTTACTGAAAACAAATTCTGTTCTAAATCCGGAACAAAAAGAACATCTAAAAATTGCCGGCTCACTTCTTTACCATCCACACACGCGACGATATCTATCTGCCACGGATAAAGTTTTGCCTCCTGCAACTTTTACATATTTTGTCTTATCGGTCGGTCCCAATTCTCGAAATATTTCTTGATGTGGTGACATTTGCATCGACGCCCCCGAGTCAGCTAACCATATCGATTGTTTTTCATTTGTTGCTTCCGTGAGAGAAGCGTCGTGGCATGAAAGAAAACGTCGTGGCATTATAAGTTTCTTCAAGATTAGACGGCTTATCCGATTTCTTTTTATTTTCTTTATCAGCAATTCTTTTCTTACATTCATGATACCAGTGTCCTTTTTCATGGCAATAATTACACGAAAATTTTTCTTTCATTTCATCCACTCTGGCTTTACTTTTCTTTTTCCCAGCTTGATTACTAGAAACTKCCYTATCGTTRGACYTYYYSGGCTGCAAATTCATATTTCTCACCTTTAACGCTAACGACGATTCTTCTGCTTCAGTTGTACTCTCCCATGCTATTGTAAATGTAGAAAACTTCGACGGTAAAGAGAAGAGCTTTATCGAGTGCTATTAGTAGGGCCAAGGATTTAGCATGGCGCGATCTTATCAGCACCATTAGATCTTAAATAAGTAAATACACAAATTACACTCAATTATATACTTTGGCCATTAGTGATCTTCACATTTGGAAAAGGTAGAGAATGTTAAAAAATAAAAAACTTACCTCTTTATTTCAACAACTTTTACCACAAAGAATATAATAAAATATGATAAGGTATTAGAAAAAAAAACTTTTAACTAAGTTTAGTTGTGAGTCATTAAAAAAGATTATAACAAACGAAGTATCAAAAACGTTCTTTTGATAACTAAGTACTATAAACTAATTTTAAGTAACTGCATCCCAGTGAACACAATTACGTCAAAATGACACATCAAAATGATTTTGCGCGATGTCGTGATTTACGTAAGATATAAGTCAGATATGAGTCACATGTGACTCATTATTTCACACTTATTGACGTAAGACTTTTACGTAATAAATATGACGTTAAGCTGACCTGACGAAACAAAAGAACAAAAAAGCAATGAATGTGTCATAACACATATGTCTAGTTGTTGCCGAATTTCATACTAGTATATGACGTATAATTTTTTTTTCACCCCAGAGATTTGAACTCGGGACCATACAATTACTGGATGGACATTACTACTGGATGGCGATTTACCTCACTGAGCCATGCGAACTTGTGCTAATTTCCATTATATTACTAATCCATATATAATTAACAATATTATTAAATATAATTAATAAATATTATTAATTATAATTAATAAATAATAATAAATAATAAAATATAACATAAATTAATAATATAAATTATAATTTACACGTTCCGTAACACGTGTACCACCGGTGGTACAATAACCATTAGACATATTATTTTAATGCACTGAAAATATATACTTATAAGGTGACTTACCGTCACCGTTTTTTTAAATATATATATATATATATATATATATTAGGACGGGTAAAAAAAATCAACTATTTTTTTTTTACAAGTGCTACGGAAAAATGGGTTTACTAGACACCTTAAAAAAATTCTCACAAAATATGAGCTCTTAATTTTAATAGAAAAATCCTCCGCATCGCAGTTTTTTATTTTTTTCTCAGTCCAATAGAATAAAATTCATACCTCATCATTAATTGATTGTACAGAAAAATGTTGTTAAAGAATTTTGTAGGAAACTTAATGCTCTACAAAAAAGGTATTTTATATATTTTTTCCGTAAACCTCACCATTTGAATGATATTGAAGATTTAAATTTGATGATTTTTAGACAAATCTCATTTTTGCTTATGAATTTTATAACTCGACAATAAATGACTATTAAAAAGTGCACAATACAAATTTTTGTAAGAAATTAACTGCTCTATAAAAATGGTGTCTTATGTTTTGGCGATTAAATTAAGCGTTCAAAAGATATTCAGAGACAAAAATCAGTACAAATGAAACTTTGATGATATATATATATATATATATATATATATATATGGGGCATTCCACGTTAAATCAGTCTCTTTTGACCCTGACCCCTTTCGATTTGGCTGAAAGTTTTTTATCCTATGCTACCCTATGAAAAACAATTTTCAGAATTATTTCAAATTTTTTTACCAAACCCAAAAAAAATTTTTAATTTTTGAAAAAAATGGCTCTTTTCTTTGAAATGACTATAACTTCTTTAAAATTCAACCTATTAGAACGTTTTTTTTAAATATTTGTTTTTCAATCTACTTTTCAGAAAAAAATACAAAAAAATTTCAAAATTATAAAATCCATGAAATTTTCGTACTTTTTGAGAAAAACCGTTATATTCTCGAAGTTCTCCATTTTTCATTTTTTTTTATTTTCTAGAAAAAAACTTTGTCTAAATCTGCGATTATCCTTGCCAGTCCCAGAGTAAGCTGAGTTAGTTTCCTATTTTTTTTATTTAATTAAAAAAAAATTTTTAATTAATTTGTTTTTTAAATTAAATAAATGCAATTAAACAATTTTACAATATTATATATTTAATTTATAGTATTAAAATACAAAGTTAAAAAAAAAAATTCAACCTTTCGTTTTTTGCTGTAAGAATCTGATGGAATTATTACGTTATTTTTATGTCAGAACATATGACTTAAGGGGTTATATACAGTTAGACGGCCGAAAAAAAGTGAATTTTCCAGAATTTTTTCTGAGAAACCTTTTAAATGTATTGATCCAAAAATTTAT